TTGTCTCCTGTCTGAGTATCATCAGTGTTGCAGTTTCTCCCTGGGATATTGCTAGTTGTCAGCTCTTCAGGTCCTAGAAACCACTGCTATTCACAGGCTGCACCTCAGTCACCCTCTACCCCTGAATAATAAGAAGCTTTAGAAGCTGCAGCTGTTCAGTCAGGAGAGAAACATGTGTTGATTTCTGTAATGGAAGTCACTGTGACAGGCTCTAGGAGATCTCTGGTCAGAGGGCCAGGTACTGTGGACTGCTGAGGCGCAGTTCAGTTTTTAATGGTGTAACTCATTTGATTTCAGAAATGAATGTGAAATGCCGTGCATGGAAAAGTGTAAGCCATCACATCTATCACCTTGAAAAATACCTGTTTTACATTCAGAATGAAAGATTAGTTATAAAAATGTATGGAGATATGGTTGAATACACTCAGGCCTCACACACACCCCCATACCTTTTCTTGTTAGGTACACCCTTTTCCTATCTCCACATATCCAAAAGGAACTTCATTTAGGCTTCTTTCCTGATACAGCTGGAAGGGAAGGGAAACAAATTAGTCTCCTCTGCCTGCTTAAGACCCATTTGTGACAAGATAGTGTTGTTACCAATTGTTTCTCTTCAGTCAGTTGAGGACACTATGATGCACAGGTGCCAATTGCAGCATCCCAGGAGGGGGCTGCTTCTCAGTGGAAAAGGACAAGTAACAGCCTGACGGCTAGGACAGGTGTGGTGGATTCATCTTGGCTGGACACCAGGTACCCAGTAAGCTACTCTGTCACTCCACCTGCTCAACAGGACAGGGAGAGGAAAATACAATGAAAAGGTCGTAAGTTGAGATAAAAACATGGAAATCATTTAATGATTACTGTCATGGGCAAAACAGACTCTACTTGGGGAAATTGTTTTAATTTATTGCCAATAAAATAAAGCAGGATACTGCAAAAGAAGAACAAACCTAAAAACACCTTCCCCCCTATCCCTCCCTTCTTCCTAGGCTCCCAACTCTTCTTTCTCCTCCTTATGAACAGTGCAGGGATATGGGGGAATGGGAGTTGTGTTCAGTTCATAACACTTTGTATCTGATACTCCTTCCTCCTCACGGTCTTGCCCAGCTCCAATGTGGGGTATCATCCACAGAAGACAGTCTTTCATATACTTCTCCAACATGGGTCTTTCCCATGTTGTGCAGTCCTTCATGAACTGCCCACACACAGGTCCCTTACAAGGGGTGCATCTTTCAGGAACAGGGAAATCTCTGGTCAGGTGCCTGGAGCACCTTCCCCCTCTCCTTCACTGGGTGTTGTCACTTTGGTGTCTGTGCATAGCTATTTCTCTCACATTTTCTCACTCTTCCTTAATTTTTTACCCTTTATGAAATATGTTATCAGATACCAGGTGCTACCAACGTCACTGATGAGCTCAGTCTTGGCCTGTTATGTGTCCGGCTTGAAGCCAGCTCTGTCCAACATGGTGGAAGCTTCTGGCATCTTCTCACAGAAGCCAGCCCTGCAGCACCTCCCCATACACACACTACCAAATCCTTGCCATGTAAACCAAATACAACCGGACATCTGTGCTGGGATACTCTCTCACAATATTATGTGAAGGAATTTCTTCATATTGGTCCTTACACATTACAAGAGGTGACTGTTCAAAAATGGACACAAAGGCAGCTGAGAAAGAATTGTGACTACCAGCTTTTTAGCCTCTGTCAAGTCAGGAGATGGCAATCTTCCCATCTTTAGGGAAACAAAATATCAGGTACCCAAAATATCCACAGAGACCATAACTAGGGAGCAACAGATCCTAGCATCTTAAAGCACAGACTTCAGGGATGAATGTTAATTCATCAAATCATCTATTGAAAAAGTGGAACTGTGTGGAACTGTTTTGCACCATGAGTTGCTGATCTATTATGACTACAGTAAGACGGCACACAGAGTCTGTAAAATAACAATTAAATACTGTTTGTTAGAGCTAGCAGTGTAAAGATGTAATCACCAGTACTGAGTAGCATCTGCCTGCAGGTTCTTTTGTTTTAATCACTGGGATGAGTCTGCCCTGCCCAGTTCACTGATATGTGGATCACTGTCTCCTCAATGTACAATGATCTTCCAATCAGCATCACTACATTCCTTGATCCACATGCAGTTGAACTTTCTTACAGATATTAATAGTTACTGATTATGTTAGTAAGTGTTTAAAAGTGATGTGCATGCAGCTAAACCCAGATGACCAAACCACAGCTAAGGTATTAAGGAAATGTTAAGACAGAACCCTTTCCTCCCAACATTCCACCCCCTCATTCAAGAGACCATTCCTGCTGGGGCCAGAAGTATAGGACAGGGTAACTTGAAGAGGCACTTAATGGAGAATATAGGAAAAAAGAATAAGCATATAACGCTTTAAGATAAATGCTCCAGTCCCCGTGTGAAGGCATTAAACCACTCAGCTAGCAAGACACCACTGATAGGGTGCCTTAGTTGATGCATCAGGTCCTGTCAATGTCAAATGTTCCTCTCAATGTAACTGATTCAGCAGTCATGTTGAAGCAACACATGCGTCAAAATCAGAACAGTGCGTGTGGTGTTGATACAGGAGGTAGCACATCAGCAACTGGACTGGAAAAATTCCCAGCTGCAGTTGGGAAATTCCCAGCTGCAGTAGCTGCAGTTACATCTACATTCCAGGAAACAAGTGCTTTGATGTCTAATTTAAACCTCTAGTGAAAGCATAGCACAGGTGCTCTATATCTGCTATGTGGAGAAGAAAAAGGAAACAGTTACCACACACAAGCATTTACGTAGTAATCCCGCAAAAATGCATCCAGAATGTGTGCATGTTGTGCAAGTCTACAAAGCATGACGAGCCAGCCTGTGACAAGGAAGAAAAATAGGCATGTCATCTCCTTCCAGTAATATATATGCTGTTGCCCCAGCTCCTTCAGCTAAAATTACTCCTAACCTGGCACCTTGAGATGGGGTGATTGCCAATACAGATTGAAGAGGTATGGTTTGTGCTTTTTCAGACTGAATTTCAATTTGATGGGTGGGTCATGACACCAATAACAGAATTCCAATGCTGCCCCCCGTAGAAAAGGCCTGGGCATTTGTTGAAGACACCTGAAATATAAGAACTTGAGAATGTGATATTAACAAAGGATTTAGCGAAGAGTAATCCTGACACCGTATCCACAGCAGTGAATAAATATTGCCATCTCCTTGATGGGGGCAGGGGAACAATGTAGGCAACTTGCCAGGCATTCAAAACCTACTGACCCCGCTTCATTTTCCTCTGGGGTCTTTGTAATACCCTTAAACACAGCTATGTATAATTGGGCATACTTAATCAAAACATTCTTGCAGGCATCAAAGGCTTCTTGTTATTGCTTGACCCATTGCCAAACAACTTTCTTCCTAGTCAGTTCCTGCAGAGTGCAGTAGTACCGCCAGGTATGGAACGAAGGTTCTCCAGTACGCTGAAAGCCCCAGGAAAGTGTGCAGTTGCTTCACTGTGGTTGGTATTTCCTTGAGCTGCCCATGCCAAACTACTCCCAGAAAATGTACAGTACTACTAGAGCCCTCTATCTTCTTTGAATTAATCACCCAGCCTCGGTCCTGTAAGGGGGCCTGTAGAGATTCAGCAGCTGCCTCAGTTTTTCATTGTGACTCCAACATAATCAGTAGATCATCAGTATAATGGTACACAGCGCTAGCACCTGACCACAACTGGTGGGCACAACATCAGCAGCCACCATTTGGTGTCAAATGTAGACACTGCTTTTAAATCTCTGAGGCAATGCCTCAAAGGTATGATGCTTTTGTTGCTAGGTAAAGGCAAACTGGTCCTGACATTCTGAAGCAATGGCCAGTGAAAAGAAAGCATTAACAAGATTCAGTGCCACCTTCCAGGAATGTAAATTTTTTCTGAGTCTCTCCATGAGGGTAACCACATCTGGTACTGTAACTGCAAGTTGGAGGATGACTGTACTAAGTCTCCATAATTAACAATCACTCTCCATGTACTATTTGAGTTTCAAACAGGTTGAATAGGGTTGGTAAAAGCAGTCATGGTGTGTCTAACGGTTCCCACTCCTTTTGTCTTAGAAAGCTGCATTGTTCCTGGCAGCAGTGTGTTTGAACATATCCCTGAACAATTACAGAACCCTGTTGATGTGATAGAATATGTGAAGGAAAAATGCTGTGGCAGTTCCGAAGAGGTGCAAAGTTATGCAACGTGCCAATCTCTGGCTAATATTTATTGGGCACTGCTTGTTACTAGACAGCACCTTCAGGCAGATGGGGAAGGAAAGCAAACCAACAGGCACCGTGGCCTGCAGGTGAACAAACTGCAGGTGAACCAGAGGAAGAACTCGTGCAAGTGACAGTTGCACCTATACAGAAGAAGAAATCCAAGACCAAATTAGCTTGCTTAGTGAGGAATGAAGAGGAAGTAGGGCCTTCAGAACAGGAGGAAGAGGCAAGGCTGCGGTAGCATCTGCCATTTCCCCCTTTGTCTTGGGAAGCTGTGTGGAACCAGGCTCTAGTAACATCAGGTTAGTCAGATTTCTGTAAGCATTTTTGCATGTAATCACCCCCTTTTATACACTATTGTTATTAGTATTGTTGCTGTTACTGTTTGTTTTCAATATCTCATTGCTCTTTTTCCAATAAATTTTTATCTCAACCCATAATCTCTGCCTTTTTGTCCCTTTATCACTGGAGGGGATGGGGAGAAAGGAATAGCTGCTTGGAACTTAATTTCCAGCTGGGTTTAAACGACAAGAGTGGTGGCACACCCTATCACACTTTTCCTAGCAGTGACGCCAGAAAAGCCAGAAAAAGAACTAAGACTCTTTTGAGTACTAGAAAGCAAGTATTCTTTATTATAGCATAGTGGATGCACAGGAAATGTGTTCCAAATTGTGCATGTTGAATCACAAAAGGATCTATAGCTTTATTCATCTACCTAATTACAAATTCAGGCATTGCCTTATCTTGTTCCTCCTACTTCCAAAACCATTCTACCCACTGTTCCACCCTTGACATGCCCCTTGAATTTGAATCTGAGGTTCTGTTGGTGGTCATGAAGAACCCCTAGTGGTCATCTCCATTGTCTTCCTCAGTTTGTCTTTTTCTTGATCCCTTGCTTTTGGCACAGCATCACATCTTCTGGAATGGTGTCAAGGTCTATGACCAGCTTTGACTAGTTTGCTAGTTTTGTGTCCCTGCTTCACAGTAGAGGAACCTTCTACCTCATTAAAATTCCTGCCTGTTGAGACCCTTAACAAAGAATGATAAACTACATAGTTTAGGCTACATTGGTAAATTATAGTCACTAATGAGCTACATTATTCTTTATAGTTGCAAGTTCCCCCTTTTAGAAGCTTTAAAGGACTTCATCCTGTTAACTTTCTACTACCTATATTTAACATTGAACCATAAAGACGAATGACAACATTGAATCATAAAGCAAGCCAATATAAACCCACAAATGATAAGTATAATTATCACAAAAAGCTGTTTTATCCAGGTCCAATTCAGTAACCATGAAGTGAGTTTGTGACAAATGTTTTCAAAACCTAAAGAGGTATAATCAAGGGCTACCTGATGTAGGGTTTGAGTTTGTTTCAAAATTTCTGCAAGATCTGTGGCAATTTTTTCGCTTTGATGTACATAAGTACAGCAACTGGTGTTAACAACACTACATAAGAGAGCCATTTTGTTCTTCAGAACTACACTAGACAAACCATGTCTTGTAAGGTAGTGAATGCATCTCAAGTTCGATTCTCAGTGTGTTCAGTAGTGGCTGAAATGTTGACAATCCCTTTCTTCTCATTCACTTACTTATGAAGAAGGAATAAGAGCTCTAACAAAACTGTGAAAGGCCATGGGATGATCAACAGGGGCATTATTGGATCTTTTTATTCTTTTTATGTAAGTTCTTACCCACCCACCTTGTTAATTAATTCGATGGAATATCATTATGTTTCGAACTAAGGCTCTAAGAACACAGGCCCCATCCTTATTAAAGGGTAAAACTTTTCATGCTTCATTTTTGCATATCCAGTAGCATCCTGAACTCTGTGTGTGGGGGTCATTCTCCAGGGTATTTGTGCCAATCCCTTTATAAGTTCTGGTGTTAGTTTCACTCTGGACTTAATTTAATGGCAATATGAAGGAAGAATGACCTATCCCATGGCATTAACAACTATGCAGGGAACCATGTAGTTTTCATGGTTAAGGATTAAGCTCCTTAGGGCTATAGGTAGGTAGGTTCTCTTGATCTGTCCACACCATTCAGATGTGAGAGATCCTGAGCCTGTGTGTGTCATGTGTGTCGTATGGTCCTGGAGTTTGTGGACCTCACTGAAGTTTGTTTCAGTCAAAGGTCAGCCTTTTTTCTTACCAGTTGTTGGAATTTGAGTACAAATCCAACAGTCATTTTTATGAAAAATACTAGAAACATTCTGAACTAGGGTCAAATGTAAATTCTGGTCCCAAACTTGGTTCATGGATACCAGCAGTACACATAAAAAGTACACATAAAAAGTACACATAAAAAGAGTAGTTTAAACGACATTTCTTTTTATCTTTATCTGCTTTTGTTCTACTGTCCAGGGAGCAGAGGCCTTCTTAATTATGGAGTAGTGAATCCACTATCCTTTGCCACCAACCAAGGGTGTGGTGAGGGCAGACAGTAGAACCTGAAACAGATCTCTTCACTTGGCTTGCAAAGGATAGCTGTCCCACCATGTAACATAGGCTCAGTCCCCAGGCTGGAATGGAAAGGCAGGAGTGTCCAATCCTATTGGTCTGGATGTCACGACATATATCTGTAGTTTCTGCAAAGTAGATCATAAAGCCATTAAATAATTTTGCAAATCAATTTTCCCCCTCATGTGAATTTCTCCTGGAATATGTGGAGTTTGGTATGGCCTACTGTATAATACCTCATAAGGACTTATATCGCCCCTGCATCTTGGCTGTATGCAGATCCTCAATAGAGCTGTGGGCAAAGCTTGAACCCACATCATGGAAGTTTCTTGGCAAATTTCGCTTATCTGTGTTTTGAGAGTATAATTCATGTGTTCAACTTGCCTGAGGCCTATAGGGACTGTGCAAATCCCAAGTGATTCCCACAGCTTGACTGAACTCTCCCACTACCACTGCAATAAAATGTGATCCTCTGTCTGATGACATTCCTAAAGGAACCCCAAATCTTGGGATTATGTGGTTGAGTAAAATTTTTACTACTTCTCTTACTTTATTAGTGCATCCTCTTCATCTGTGTCAGGCTCTGATTTGCTAGTTGTTCCAGGAACTGAAGCTTTCTTTACTCTGGAGTAATGAAACCAGGGTCCTTTGCCAGCAACTTTGATGGCAGTGAGGGAAGTCAGCAGGACTTGGAATGGTCCTCTCCACTTGGCTCGTAGTGGGTCACTGTCCCACCATTTAACGTAGACCCAGTCTCCAGGCTGGAACTGATGAGCAGGGGTGTCCAGTCCTATAGGTCTGGATAACTCAATAAATCTATGGACTTTCTGTAAAGTATAGCCTACAGCCATTAAATACTTTTGTAGATCAACTTTCCCCCTCATGTGAATGTCCCCTGGAATATGCAGAGCTTGGTATGGTCTCCCACATAATATTTCATAAGGACTTAGGTTATCTCTCCGTTTTGGTTGTATGTGAATACTCAGCAGAGCTAGAGGCAAAGCCTGAACCCATGACATGGATGTTTCCTGACAAATTTTACCAATTTGCATTTTAAGAGTACCATTTATACGTTCTACTTTGCCGCTTGCCTGAGGTCTGTAGGGAGTATGCAGGCCCCAGACAATTTCCAGGACATGACAAACCTCCTTCACTACTGTTGCAATGAAATGTGTCCCTCTATCTGATGACATTCCTAGAGGAACCCCAAACCTTGGAATTATATGGTTGAGCAAAGCTTTTTCCACTTCCTTGCTGTGTTAGTGAACCAGGGGCAAGCTTCAGGCCATCCACTGAAGGTGTCAACCAGTACTAATATGTACTTGTATCCCTCCCTGAGTGGTAACTCAGCAAAATCTATTTGCCAATAATCTCCTGGAAGGTCCCTGGCCTTTGTTACCCCCAGCACCAATCTCTTAGTTGTATCAGGATTGTTTTGCCTGCAGATTTCACATTTAATTACAATGGATTGCACAACTTCGGTCATACCTGTCCCTATTACTACCTTCTTCAAATGTTTTAGAAGATTTTCTGGTCCCCAGTGGGTAGCCTCATGTTCCTGTAGAGCTATCTCCCTAAGAAGTTGGGGTGTGATCACAACCTGTCCTGTAGGTGTAACAGCCTATCCACTTTCTTTGATTTCAGCATTAAGGGACTTAACTAACTGGTGGTCTTTCTCATCATATTTTGGGGTGAACCCTGACAGAACAATTTCTTTCTGTGGTATTACTGCTAGGATACCTTTTTCTGCAGCCCCTTTTGCCGCCTGGTCAGCAAAATGATTTCCCAATTCGAGAGTTGTTTTCCCCTTTTGATGAGATCTGCCATGCATGATAGACACGTCCTCTGGTTTCCAAATACTCTGCAGGAGTGCATGGATTTGGTCAGCATGTTTGATCCCACTGCCTTGGGCAGTTAGTAGCCCTCTCTCTTTCCAGATGGCTCCATGGGCATGTACAACACTGAATGCGTACTTAGAATCAGTCCAGATTTTAACTTCTTTCCTTCGCTCAGTTCTAGAGCTCTTGTCAGTGCAATTAGTTCTGCTTTTTGGGATGACACATCTGCTGGCAAGGCCTTCATCTCAATTACTTCATCCTTGGTTGTCACTGCATATCCTGTCATTCTCTTACCATCCCGCATGAAGTTGCTTCCGTTCGTGTACAGTTCCCAGTCCAGGTTTTCCAGAGGCACGTCCTTAAAGTCTGGTCTGCTGGAATACGCCTCCTCAATGGTCTGCAAACAGTCATGCTCAGGCACACTGTCAGTCAATGCTGAGGACAGAAACACAGCAGGATTTACAATAGATGTTGCTTTCACGGTAACATGATCATGTTCCAACAACACAGCTTGGTATTTAAGCATCCTGCTAGGGGACAGCCAGTGGCCCCCCTTCTGCTCAAGTGCAGCTTGGACTGCATGGGGTACATACACGACAATGCGCTGCTCAAGGGTGGGTTTTCAGGCCTCCTGGATCAGGATAGCAGTTGCTGCTACATCTCTCAGATCCCCCGGCCATTCTTGGCTAACACTGTCTAGATGTTTGGAGAAGTAGGCCACAGTCCTTTGCTGGTTTCCCAGGGTCTGTGATAATACCCCCAGAGCAACATTTAGTTGCTTATATGTAAACAGTTCAAAAGGCTGAGTTAGGTCTGATAGTCTCAATGCTGGAGCTGACATTAAAGATTGCTTCAGCTGTTTAAACGCGGCTCTGGTCTCATCTGTCCATGTTACAACTCCTTCCTTGGCTGCTTTTAGTGTTCCAAATAGGGGTTTGACTAGTAACCCATAGTTAACTTTCCACAGGTGACACCATCCTATCATTCCTAGGAATGCCTGCATTTCTCATACGGTGTGGGGCTCTGGGAGACTACAAATGGCTTCTTTCCAGTCTGTGCTGAGCTGTCGATGTCCATGGTAGATTTCAAGCCCCAGACAGATGACTATCTCCTTTGCAATCTGTGCTTTCTCTTTCAAGACCCTATACCCACTTAGTCCCAAAAAGTTTAAAAGACTTACAGTGAGCTCAATGTATTTGTCTTGACTTTTGGCAGCAATTAGTATGTCACCTACATATCGCAGGACAATTCCTTCTGGTTGCTACCTTCTCCGGTCCTCCAGTTCTTTTGCCAGTTGGTTTCCAAATATTGTCAGGCTGTTCTTGTAACCCTGCGGTAGAACTGCCCAGGGGAGTTGAGTTCTTCTCCCTGTCTCGGGATTTTCCCATTCAAAAGCAAAAAGCTCTTGACTGTCCTTATGTACAAGAATGCAGAAGAAGGCATCCTTGAGATCAAGCACAGTAAATCACCCTAAATCATCTGTTAATGTGGTCAATAAGGTATAGGGGTTGGCTACTACTGGGTATATGTCCTTGGTTATTTTGTTGATTGCCCTCAGATCTTGGACCAATTGATAGCTCTTGCCATCAGCCTTCTTTACCGGTAGGATAGGGGTGTTGAATTTGGACTCATGTTCTACCAATAACCCAAATCTGAGAAATTTTCAATTATGGGTGCTAACCCTTTACAGCTTTCTAGCTTCAAGGGGTATTGTTTTTGTCTTACCGGTGTTGCTCCTGGTTTGAGTGTGATGCTTACACGCTCTGCTTGTTTGGATCTCCCAGGACACTCGCTAGCCCATACTATAGGGATGACAGCATTCTCATGCATTCTCATCCATCTGTGAGGATCTCTCTGTGGTTCTCCTGTATGAAGAAGGTAGCTGCCTTGATATAATTAGTGTCAGGAATTATGACTTTTATTTCCCCCCCTGCAGAATTTAATTTCAGCTTCTAATTTCTCCAATAAGTCTCTAGCCAATAAAGCCTTGGGAGAGTTTGGCATATAGAGGAATTGATGAGTTACCCAGTGTTTACCTAATTTAAATCTCAAAGGTTTAAAGAAAGGCCTGGTTTCACTTACCCCTGTAGCACCAACCACAGTTATAGTATCACGACTCAATTTCCCTTCTAAGGTATTTAACACAGAATATGCTGTGCCTGTATCAACCAAGAATTCAATTTCTTCTTCCCCGAACTTAGCTATAACCAGAGGTTCTGCTGGGGAAGAATCCTCCAGTCCCCTTCATGCATCCCGGTTCACAGACAGTTGAGGGACTGGATTTCCACTTCTTTTCAAGTCTGGACAATCCCTTTTCCAATGTCCCTTCTTTTTACAGAAAAAAACATCGATCGTTTGCCCTATCATGTTGGTGATTGCATTTATAATACTTGTGGTAGGCATTATGTTTGCGGCGTTCCTGACAGTTACTGCTTCTGTGGAGTACATGGCAGGTACCTTCCTCTAGCTTCAGCACCCTTGCCCTGCCTTTCTGATCTCTATTGCGATACACTGTCCAAGCAATATCCAATAATTCACCAATATCTTTCCTGCCCCCTACCTTCTGCAGCTTTTTCCTTATATCATCCGCAGACTGGTATATGAACAAATAGACCAAGTACTTTTCCCCGAAACCTGACTCCGTGTCTATGCCTGTATATTTTCGTATAACCTCTTTTAGCCTATTCAGAAAGTCTGTTGGGGACTCATTTCTATCTTGTTTTACTTCATCCACCTTTGACCAGTTCACTGCCTTTGGAATCACATGCCTGAAACCATACAGTACCCAGTCCTGATAGCGTTTCAATGCTTCTTTTTTCTCTGGTAAATTAGGGTCCCACTTCGGGTCCTCTAGGGGGAAAATATCCTTAAGTTTCCCTGTGAGTACTCCACCTGTTATTAGTAGCTCAATTCTAGACTGAGCAGCTCGCTTAACCATTTCCTTCTCTGTGGAGTCAAGTGATGTATCCATCATCACTTCTAAGTCACACCAATCTGGATTTTGTGTTCTAATTGCTCTTTCCATATAATTAGCCACTTTATCTGGGTTATCTCTATATGCTCCGACAAAAGCTTTCCACTGCTGCAATTCAACCAGAGAAAAAGGAACCTTTATTAACACTGGGCCTTGGTTACCCATAGCCTGTATTAAGGGAGCCTCTACCACAGGTTTTTCCTTCTTTGTCCTCGTTCTTCTAGCCACTGGGCTGGAATCTGCTAGGGCTTCACAGACTCTCCTCCCCTTTGTTTTTGGTTTTACTACAGGAGGTTTTTCCTCCTCCATGCTACTATCTAATTTGCCATCAGAGGCTTCTGTACCTGTGTCAGTAAAATCACTGTCTCGAGTTTCGACTTTCACACTCGAGGAGTCAAAGGGGGGGAAGACTCTGCCTTTGCTTCCTGTCGGAGGCCGGGATTGATTTGCTCTTTCTTGGAGTGCTCGTTCCCTGATGACACGGGGCAGAAGCTGGAAATCCCTCCAGTTCCTGCTTCCCCCCTTCCACAGTGGGAAATCCTACATAACTGGGCGGCGCAGCCGAAGTGACCGTGCCCCCCGTGGTTGTAGGATAGCGACCATAAAGGACAGGCGGTGCTGGGGGAAAGGGAGCGCTCCAGCTCCGCCCACAATGGCGGAGCCGGAGGGTCCCGTGTCGGCCGGGGCGGTGATCCCGGCTGCAGGCACCGCCCCTGCTCCTCCTCCCGCAGTTCTAAGATCTACGCCGGTGCCTCCCATCACCATGGGGACAGCTCTGGCTGCAGTGGGCGGCTCCACCCCTCTTCCCGGGGCCGTGTCGGCCCCTGCGGGGACGAAGCCGTCCACGCCCGCAACTGCGCCTGTGCGGGCGGCAGCCCCCGTTGCCGCAGCAACCGCGCCGGCAGTCAGCACCACCCCTGGGGCGGCTCCAGCCAGAACCGACCTTGCAGCTCCTGAGGGGGCCGCCGCCTGCCTGCTAGCGACTGCGCCTGAAACCGCTACGGGCGACATCGCTCCCGCAGCCCCTGGGGGGGCGGCCCCCCCCAAAGCCAGAGGGAATCCCTTAGGGATCTTCTTCTCCTTGGCCAGCGTACAACCCATGATGACAAAATACAGACAGGAGTAGCACCGGGATTAGAGTTCACAGACCCAGGAGCACTGTGGAAACTCCTTCCCCGAGCGCCACTGCCGGCTTCAGGCCATATCACAGTACTTCAACACACGGAGAGGCGTCCCCCGGCTCGGCCCGGCTGGCCAACACTAAACACGAAACACCTGAGTTTCCCTCTGCCCTGCCCTTACCGAAACCTCACAGACAGACCAACTGCCCGCCCCGGCGAAACTCTTTCACCCACAGACTGGGAAAAAACCTGACTTTTGCAACTTCTGGGCCCAAGTCCCACTGTATTCCCTTTCCCAGTCCCAGTGTATTCCCTATTTCTGGGAAATAGCAGTTCGCAGCTGCTAACAAAAAGCTGCTCTTTTATCTCACTTCCGTGTGTGGTTTTGAGGAGCTGGGCCTCTCAAGATCAGTGCGGGAATTCTCCAAAATATGCCGGCCGAAGAAGAATTTCCTGCAGGATGAAATTTTCCAATCTGGAGAGCCACAGGTCCCGCTTTTCCACCTTTCAGGCTGCCAAAACTGTTGCCTAGAAGACCTAGGGAGAAAAAAAAGACTTCAGGCCCAATTAGGTAAGGAGATAAGATAAGAGAGAAGTTTTAATGAGCCTACAGGCTCCAGGAATACACACACACACACACACACACACACACGCCCCCCCAGCCGCTCGGGGACACCCCTCAGGTCTCCATGCAGCCACTCCAGGTGCTCCGAGGAGCCGGCCCCACAGCCTGCCATGGCCCTGCAGCCCCAGATGGTTTAAAAACCAAAACCAATTCAGCATACGCTACTTCGTTCCACTGCTCCTCTTTATGAAAAATCGACATAAGCTGTAACACTGTATTCATTTGAAAAGAGCCAAACTTCGGCCAAGTCTTCCTTCCGAGCAGCCCGTGCGAAGGCCACATATTTATAGAGAGCCTTCATAACTCCTGCCTCTCTAAAGATGTTTCAGAGCCAGTTAAATGCCTCCAGTGCTGCAAAACCAAGGCTAACGGGGATCCTTTTGGGATCTCCTCCTCTCGGGACTGTATACAACCCATGCTGGCAACTACCAGGCCAGGTACAATGGCCTTTCCTTAAAACAGAGGTAATGCATTTACATACACTACTAGAAAACCATATAAACACAGCCTCCCTATGTACAGAAACCCTTTCACTAATCTATCAATCTCTCAAAGCTAAAGAAAGATGGGTTTTCCTGCTTTTTGCCCCTATCTCAGAGTTAGAAAAGAATGAAATTTTTGAAAACCGAGATTTTATAACTTACTTTTTAGTTAAAGAAAAGGGTAAAAAACACTTCTTGCATGATTGCCTTTGCAAAAAAAGGAAATAATGCGTTGCCCCTTAAACATAATAACAATAGTCTACTGCTTAACAGTTGGGTGGAATTAGATTTTGTCATTTTCTGCCGCTATTCCTGTTCCTATAGAAACTTTCCTACTAACTCCTTGGCTAAACGAATAAGTAACTTACCTTTGGGTGAGGAAGACGACAAGCAAACCCCTCACTCAGAATCTCCTTTTTTACATAACGTGGAAAAGAAAGGCAGGACATGGTGAACTAAAACTTTGCTAACTATTCACTCATACCACTGCATTTTGCATTGTCAAGAAGATGTAAGTTTTGCTTGTAACATTTGTAGTTTTTTGCCTTCAAATCAGTTTTCTCAAAAGCGGTGTAAGTTGTTTCCTTGACAATGGAAATAAAGGGTAGAGGGTAAATTAAAAACATTTACACATGGAATGAAATTTAACATCTCACCATCCTAAAGCCCAGTATGTTCATTAATTCATATTTTTTAAATGTAGAGCTGGCTGATACAAAGCTTTTATTGGGTTTGGCAGTTTCATGTTCTTCTAACTGTGATGGAGTGTGCGGGATGAACCTTTTATCAATCAGCAAACAAAGTTGCTACACATATTACGGAAACTGGAGCAATATGGACAATTTACTAGGGAGCTAGATTTAAACTAAATAAATTCACATACAGGCTGTTTCAGCATAAATTGCATGCTGATTACCAATCAATTACTGAACTCAAGGTAAAGAAAAGGATTTGAAACCTTCTGCTTCATAGTATAAAGAGAGAGAAAAATTCTCCTTTGCCTAAAAGCCTTTGTAATTATTTTTCACTATGTAAATTAGTGTCATTTAAACCAAGAACATTTAAGTTTATCTCCACAAAACCAGAACACTACAGCTTCAAAAATTTTCCCTATTTTTCATTCAATTCCCAATAGCTTTAAAAATAAAAATTATTAGAAGTTATTAAATTCTCAAATACATCCACATACATGCAATTATCACAATACTGTTATTCAAATAATAAGTATAGAATTTTAAACATCCCCATATTTGTTACATTCGAACATTCTCAAAACATTTTGCTGTCACAAAACAACATACATAAATAATGTCAACAAGAGTGCAAAATAGCTGCTTAAACGGTACCCGGTGCCAGTCTTGAAACCAAGACCTCGGGATTACCATGGGAGCTCCCTCTCCAGGCACCACCACTGACCTCAGGCCAGGGCAACCTATTTTATTACATGGAAAGGTGTCCGTCTCTTGTACCAAGTCAATACAAAACCCCTTAGTAACCACAGTGGTAGATTCCACTGTCCCTGCCCTGCCTTTACCGAAGCCGCAAGGTGGTGGGGGTGTGTGTGCTCCACCCACTTCCCTTTTAACTGTCCCAGGCTTCTGCCCACAGACTGGGAAAACACCAACTTTTGCAACAACACGGGCCCAAATTCTCACTTCCCAGCCTACCGTATTCCCCTATTTCTGGGAAATACCCCTTTGCAGATGCTAGCAAAATTACCCAAAGGAGCTGCTCTTTTATCTCACCTCCGTGTGTGGTTCTGAGGAGCCGGGCTTCTCAAGATGGGTGGATCCGGAGGACTCACAGGTCCGGCTTTTCCACCTTTCGGAGTGCCAAAACTGTTGCCTAAAAGACTGCAGAGAAAAGACTTCAGGCCAATTTAATGTAGAAGAGAAGATAAAGGGAGCAGATCCTTTAATGAGTCCGTAGGCCTAGAGGAATACATACCACACGCCCTCTCTCAGATACTGATTCTATGATTTTATAATAAGGTCCATCCAATCTCAATTTGTTCAACCCCCGGTTATGCCCCCCAACACACCCCTTCGGGAATTGAGTCTGGCGGCATTTGGGACCCCTTCTTCCTCATCTTCATCTTCTTCAAAGCACATACAGTCCTTGGAGTTCCTACAAAGTTCTGGGCTTGAAGGTCACTGTGTCTGTGTGATATCTTCTGGTCCAGGCCTTAGGGTGTTTTTCTACAATTCTACCTTGAAAAGAAGACTAAACACACTAACGGAATTTTAGAGGGATTGATATGAAACGGGGTAGTAGGGTTGTGTATGTGTAAGCATTATGCTAGAGGGTAAGGGATATAACACAGCTACATTAAAATCTACGTTCATTACACATCTACTTCTAAAATCTATAAAAGTTAAAAAATCCAAAAAAAGCTCTGAGGCATTATTGCAAACAAAAGAAGGACTAGGGACAATGTGGGCCCTCTCCAGAAAGAAACGCGAGACCTGGCTGCTCTGGACAGAGAGAAGGCTGAGATTCTCAACAACTTCTATGCCTTAGTCTTTGTAGTGGGTTTCTGTGGCTAGGTTTTGGTAGCGGGGGGGCTACAGGGGTAGCTTCTGTTAGAAGCTGCTAGAAGCTTCCCCTCTTCTGTGGAGCCAATGCCAGCCGGCTCCAGGACAGGCTTCCTGCCACTGGCCAAGGCCAAGCCAATGAGGAGTCATAGTAACACCTCTGTGATAACATATTTAAGAACAGAAGGTTGTTGCACAGAAAGAATTCCAGCCAGGAAAGAGCAGAGTGAGAACATGGGAACAACAATGCAGACACCAAGGTCAGTGCAGAAGGAGGGGCAGGAGGTGCTTCAGGCAGCAGAGCTGAGGCCCTGCAGCCCGTGGTGCAGACCATGGTGGAGCAGCTGTGCCCCTGCAGCCCATGGAGGACCATCAGGGTGCGGAGACCCACCTGTAGCCCATGGAGAAGCCCATGCTGGAGCAGGTGGATGTATGAAGGAGGCTGTGACCCCGTGGGAGGCATAAGATGGAGCAGGGTCCTGCTGGAGACCTGCAGCCCATGGAAGCCCATGCTGAAGCAGGTTTTTCCCGGGTAGGATTTGTGGCCCCTGTGGGGGACCCACACCGGTACAGCTAATTTGTGAAGGACTGTATCCCATGGAGAAGTGACCCATGGGACAGCAGTTTGGAAAGAACTGTTGCCCAAGGGATGGATCCATGCCAGAGAGGTCCATCAGGGACTGTCTCCCATGGGAGGGACCCCATGGGTGCAGGGGAAGGACTCTTCTCCCTGAGCAGCAGCAGAAGCAGCAACTGACCGTATACCCCTGCACCACTGGGGGGGGGGAGAGGGAGAACATGGAAGGAAGGAGGGTGTTTTTAAGACTGTTTTATTTCTCACTCTTTGGCTCTTATCCTGTTAGTAATAAATTTAAGTACTGTCCCCACTTTGAGTCTGTTTTGCCCATGAAGGTAATCAGTAAGTGACCTCTCCCAGCTGTTAACTCATGAATCCTTAGCTTTTTTTTTCTCTCTCCTCTGTTCAGTTGCAGAGGGAGAGTGAGAGAGTGGCTTTAGTGGGTACCTGGCATTTGGCGAGGGTCAACCCACTACAGTCTTCAACAGCAAGTGCTCTAGCCATGCAACCAAAGTCAGGAAAGGTAAAGGCAGAGACTGGGAGAATGAAGACCCTGAGCCCACTGTAAGAGAGGATCAGGTTTGAGACCATCTAAGGTATGCACAAGTCTATGGAACCTGATGACATTCAACTGCATGTCCTGAGGAAGCTGGCAGACCAAGTTGCTAAGCCCCTATCCATCATTTTTGAAAAATTGTGGCAGTCAGAAGTTCCCAATGACTGGAAAAAGGGAAATATAACTTCCATTTTTAAAAACAGGAAGGCTGAGAACTCAGGAAACCACGGACCAGTCTCACCTCTTGCCAGGCAAGATCATGGAGCAGATTCTCCTGGAAACTGCTAACGCACATGGAAAACAAAGAGGACATTGGTAACAGACAGTATGGCTTTACTAAGGGCAAATCATGCCTGTCCAATTTGGTGACCTTCTATGACGGGGATAGAGCATTTGGTGATAGGGGCAGAGCAACTGACATCATCTACCTGGACTTACACAAAGCATTTGACACTGACCCGCACGACATCCTTGTCTAAAACCGTCCCACCCTGCCAGCCCCAACACGTCCTTTTGTTCTTGGGTTAATGGGGCTGGTTTCCGTGCACTGGTTACCGCTGCCTTGCTGCCTGGAACAGCAATATCCTGCCAAACTCAGGGTATCACAAACGGAGCGTGTGAGCGCCGGTCCCTTCCCCGCGTCTCCTTCTTGCACTGAGTGGGCGGGGGTCGCCCCGGCCCGACCTGGCCGGGGGCAGAGGCGTCGGCGCGGGCAGAGCATCTTCCCGGCGGCGGAGGGCGCGGACCCCTCCTCGTCCCGGGCGTCACCGGCGGCTGGACCCTCCCGTCCCCTCCGC